TATTTTATCAGAAACTGTAGAGTACTCACTATTTAGAAATGGAATTAGATACTTAGCAATCCTGAACAGGAGCACTTAGTTTACATACTTTAGAACAACATTAGATTAGTTTTCTTTCCTCTTTTTTTCTTTCCTTTGGTTTATTTTGTTTGCATTTCCTTTTAACTTATGTAAAGCACTTTGAATTGCCTTGTTGCTGAAATAAAATTACCTTATCTTACCTTCTACCCTCCTTCTTCTACTCCCTTCTTTGGCACCCATTTCAAACTATCATTTACCAAAAAACAAAGGGACAATTTCATTTTTATATATTTGGCTTTTCTTGTTTGGAACCTCCAGACCTTTTAACTTCATCATCCTTCCAGAAATACCGTTAAGATTTTATTGGAATTACGTTTGCATTCTCTATTCTTTGCATCAATAACTTTTATTCTCCGTCGATCTTAAAAAAAAAAAAAAAAAATTTTTCAAAACAGATAACAAATGGACAAGAAAGGGAGAGAAAAAGATGACGCCACAGTGAGAGTAGTAAAAAGAGGGAGATATAAACCCCCCACTACAAAGAATGACACAAATCAAGAAACATTAGGAAAAACCAGACCATGCCTTAAGCATTATTTCTTCATATGTTGCTAATTAATCCTTTGTTTATGAAAGAAAGAGATGCTAACAGCAGCGGTCCCACGGGGAGGGGAATATCTGGAGGCAGAGGGAATGCGTGGATGTGCTGAGAGTCGCTATCAGACCCATCCATTACCGCAACTCAATAATACGCATTTAGAGAATTAGCTTGGAGTCATTGGGTGAAGTGGTAGAGATGTGCAGGTAATCTGTTTTTCTTTATTAGTGACATTTAACGTAGTTCGAAAGAGAAAAACCTTCTTTGATGACTTAAAGACTACATGAATGTTAATGGTGAGCTGGCTTCACTAATGATTCTGCGTATACTGTGCAGTTGGATTGACGTTATGTGTTTTTAAAGCTACGCAAAGCAAACAAGCCTTTAAAATTGGTGACAAATTGCAGGAATAATGGTAATTTTTGATTTTACTTGTTCTGTGTTTTGGGAAACTGAAAATATGCTTTTCAAACATGCTTAATACCAATTAAAAGTGTCTTTAGGCGTTGTACGTCAGTTTGGTTTTGCAGGGTTGCCTAAGGACAAATTGCTCATTTTATTCATGTTTAGACTTAAAGACCCCAGGCTGGGATTAGAACCCAGGACTTTCTCTCTGTAAGAAAACAGTGCTACCAACTGCAATAACCACTCCATAGAGCTATAATAAATGGATTGCTATATAGCTCTAATATTCCTCTGTGTATTTGTGAAGACAATTTACAAAGAAAGAAACTCTGTATCAGAACTCGAAAAGATGAGCTGCTACCTGCCTCGACCTAGTAGACCTAAGAAATGCAGAATGGCAGCTACAACAAGTGCCAACTCTGGGCAGGTTGATAAGTCAGTAACTGCAGAGCAGCAACATACAACATTGGATACAATATAGACTCTAACAAGTAAAGAAAACGCTAAGTTATAGATACAGCAAGTTTGCCAATTAAGGAAGATATTTGTACAAAGCTAATCAGTGCATCATGGAATGCCTCTGATATAACCTGTGATGGCCTTATATACCATACGTATTAACATTTAAATCCACCAGTGAGGTTTTCCCCAGATGGCCATGTCGGCCATATTTCACCGATCCTCGCTCCACCGCTTGTTGCTGGGTCCTTTAGCAGCTGTCCTGAGACGATTATTGGCAATTTCAGATAAAAGCCTCACTTGTGTTGGAACTAATTGCTGCTGATGGAAATGATTAACTGTCACATTTGTCTTCGTTGTGGTATCGGGGCTATTGTGGTGTGTGAGGGCTAATTGTAGCTAGTAGCAGGAGTTGTTATGCGGCATTTCGTAGTGGGTTATACCTAATTGTAGCTGATAGTAATCGTTCCAGTCTGTGAATACAGCCCGCAGCACAGAGAGGTCGAGCTTCGACGTACAGATGCTCAGACTCTGTATGAACTTTCTGGCCTTTTATAGGAAAAAAAAAAGAAAAAAAAAAGGCCAGACTGCAGTTTCAAACAAGTGTTGGATAATGGCAATATTTTTCATCGTTTCCTGCTGTATTGATTTTACTTTCTCCTAAAAATCACTCATAAGTGTAATTATTGTCATCATTAGTGCTTTTATGAACTTTCTAAAACATCTCGGCGCACATAGGGCAGATGGAAACACACTTAGGTCAGTCAGAGCCTTTTAGGTCGGGATTTCAGCTTCATTGCTTCACCACAACGATCTGTAGTTTTCCACTGTGTATGTGTGTGTGTAAGTGAATGATGAATTCTGACTGGGTGTGGTGAACATCAGATGAGATTTTCCTTCGCTCCCTGCACTCTCTGCCTGTGTCACCCACACACACACACACACACACACACACACACACACACACACAAGAAGTGAGTGCCAGGGCTGGTCTAGGCGTGGGCCCTCGCAGACATAAATTGCTTTTATTTTAATAGTTGTGCAGAGGGGGCAAAGACTGGAGGCTGAAATTGTAAAATGCTACAAAGGCCGCAAAGAGAAAATGGAATTCAGCAGTCCATTTTTTCCCCCCGTTTTTCCTCTTGAGCCCCCTTGGTTGCATTACAAGGGTTTTAAAATTATGTCCTGATTGTATGTGTGTTTGCATACTTTTGTTTTCAATCATCCCAAATGGAGCTTTCCACTACAATCCCCGAACATCTTTGGTCTAGAAGTGTTTATCCTTTATGTGTAAAACAGAGAAAGTTAGCAGGTTGCTGTCTTTAAATAACAACAAGCATTTTCAGCCTCGGATTGATCACAGGAGTCGTTCTCATTGTACACGCTATCTCTCCTCCAGATGGATCATCAAATATGCATTATCCCCTCTCTCTTTCCTCTCCTCTGTCATACTGCATTGATCTAAAAGTGATCAGTTTTGGCGTCTATCGGGCGTCTCGGCATGTTTGCGATCAAACAAACACATACAAACATGGGTCAACGGGTTTGCTGTGTTTATGAGCCAATATGAAGAGGATAACCACAAATAAACACACTTGCACACAAAAAACCCCCAAAACACGCAATATCTCTCTGTCACGACTGTTGTGAACAGTGCAACCACAATTGTTCTCTTTTCAAACAAAAGAAAGATTATGGTTTAACATAAAACACATGTCTGGTTATTTGGTGGCTTTTGTAAAGTGATTATAAGAGGGAAAAAGGGACGAATGGTAGAGGAGAGGAGGGAAAAAACAGGGTGGGTAAGAACTGAAAGAAAAATATTATTCATGAAATTACTTCAATTATATTAACAATTATTCTTGCGTGTCGAAGAAAGGAATATGGAGGATCAAAATGCCATGGAAACAAAAGGAAACAGACCCGGAAAGTGTTTCGGAGCAGCATTTTAATCCGATAATATGACTTGCAAATGTTTTCACGCCCCTTGCTCGTTTTTGGTTGTGTTTGACCGGTGTACGTCTGGCCACTAAATGGTTGACTTTAAGGCCTTTTAGGCTCAAAATAGTTGATTGGGTGGAGACTGCAAGTGAACAGCTGTTTCAAAGTCTTTCCACTGTTTTTCATTTGGTTTTGGGTCAGGACCTTTCCAACACCCAAACATGCCTTCATTTAACTTATTCCGTTGAAGCTCTGGCCGCATATCCAGGGTTGTTGTTCTGCTGGAAGGTAAATCTCCGTCACAGCAACCAATTTGTTGCAGGTTGTCGTAGATTTTCTTTCAGGATTATCCTATATTTCACTTCATTCATCGTCCCATGAACAGTGACCAGCTTCTCTGCAACTGTTGGGGAGGAGGAGTTTCAATGTAGCGACTGTGTATTCAGGTTGATGTGCAAGGTTAGTTTCCACCATTTTTGTTTCTTTTGTCCTTTAACGTGTTTACTGCATCTCATACATGGCTTGAGGAAAACTGTCAATATGAGTTATAGCGGCTACTTTTTATTGTTTTTGCAATAGCTTTCCCTTCCTTCCTTTTTCACAAAGACCCAAATTTTATAATCCTTAAAGAGAGGTTGTCCGTTAGAGAGATATTTCCACCCGAGCTGGGACTCTCTTCAGCTCCTCCAGAGTTTGCATGAACTCATTGGCTGATTTGATTGGTAATGTGCTCCCTGCCCAGCCTAGTAGATGGGATTTAGATTTATAACCCTGCTTTAAGTTTCTCGACAACTTTATCCCTGACCTTTCTGCTGTAATCCTTGCTCTTCGCGATGCTGTTGGCTCCCTCGTGCTCTTCCAAAAAAAAAAAAAAAAAAAAAAAAAAGCCTTTAAGGCTTACACAAAGCAGCTTCATTTTCAATGGAATTTAAATTACACACAGGTGGCCTCTACTTACTAGCTAAATTACTTCTTTAATGCATTTTATTTAGAAACATCAAAGTAGAGGGGTTAAATACAAATGCAGGTTTTTAGAGACCAAAACAGAGACAAAAGGACAGGGTGGCGTTGCAGCTTTAAAGTGAATGAAAGACGGGCAGAAACACAGGAGAAGCAGAGAACTTTGGAGTGTCGAAGAGGATGAGTTGCCATCCGCAGGCTCAATCATCCATCTCTGTGATACCGGATGTTTGGTTTGATGTGGTCAAGCATCAACCATAGGCCCGCCGATGGTGTCTCCCTCCCATGTCTCGCTTCATCTCACCCTCCTCGCTCTCGCTGTCTCGGGCTCTCTGATATGGTTTTTGTTCTCATGTGGTCATATGCTGAAGATTTTCATGGATGGTTTCGATTCCATCATGATGAAAAAAATTTACTTCAAATATAGAGTTAGAAAAAAAAAAAAAAAAACTACCCACCAGAAACGAATTGCTGCAACGCTGAGATTTTTACCTGCACATTGAGTCAGGTTTTTGAAGAGTTTTGGGTTTAACTGAATCCAAGCAATTTAAGACGCATAATTAAAACATTTTTGTTTCTCTCTTTTTCTTTTTTTTTTTCTATTTTGCATCTTTAGAGATGGTGAGGAAGAAGAATCCCCCTATCCGGAGTGTGGGTGGTGAGGAGGAAGAGGAAGAAGAGGGGAAGAAGCCAACAGGAGAGGAAGAAGATGAAGGAGACGAGGAGGAGAGAGTGGCAGCGGAAGCAGATCGGATAAACCGACCCTCCGAACCGGAGTCCTCTGAACGGATCCGAGGGAACGAGGAGCAAGACGAGGAGGATGAAGCAGAGAGTGAGTGCACCTCCTCCGTCGGTGAGCTCTACATTAATGAGGAGCGAGGGGGGAGGACCGCAGGCGGAGGGGCGAGGGCAAAACGAGTATTAGCGGCACAGTGTGAGAGACCCGACAGCCAGTCGGAAGCCGAGGACGGGGAGAGGGGAGCAGAAGGAGGGGAGACTGACCACCTCACTCCTCCTCTCCCTTCAGCACCTCGGGTCCTTTCCAGGCAGGAAGGGAGGGAGGAGTCAACCAGTGACACCCCGGCACTCTCGTCCAGCCCTTCTCCCAAACTTCAGGACTTCAAGTGCAATGTGTGTGGTTACGGCTACTATGGCAACGACCCTGCTGACCTGGTGAAGCACTTTAGGAAGTATCACCTGGGTCTGCACAACCGCACACGACAGGATGCTGCTCTTGACACCCAGATCCTGGCCCTCCACAACATGGTGCCCCAGCATACAAACTTAGGTAACTCCTGCTTCAGTGAAAGTTATAGTTTTGCTTTAAACAATCCTAGTATAAGGCTTTCTTAATTTTAACTCGGTACTCTTTTGAAAGACAAACTGGTCCGACTCATAGGCAGGTTAACATCATTTCAGATCGATGCAACTGATTAATTTACTATTTAAACATGTTCTGCTTGAAGCACCTTGAATTGTCTTTATTATTTTTCCAACTCATTTTGCTGTTCTGATGTCAGATTTACAAACAGGACAGGGAGCGAGAAGTCAAACCAAAGAGCTGGGGAAGACGAGAGCCGATGGACAGAATCAGCAGCAGAGGACAGTTATGATGAACGGAGCGTACGACATACAGGTGTGTGTCGCTCAGAAGTTACAGGAAAAACTTTTTTTTTTTTTTAACAAAGTCATGGATATCCTGTAAGTGGTATTGCTGAAGTATAACGCCATTCGTTTTTTCAACATTTCTTGTACAGTAGGGGAGTCGAAGACGAGATATTTTCCATCTAGCTCTAATATGACAATGGTATCTGCTCCGACTTGCTTTGAAAAGAAAATATACATCAATGTAGTTTTGAGGAAGGAGAAAATCCGCGTACAAGGTGAAAGTAAGCTTCCCTGGGAATTCTAGTTGAGTGCAATTTTAGTGTGCAAGCCTGGATCTCAATCCTCTGGAGGTTAGAAAAGTTGATTTTGTTGTGTTCAGCTCCGCTTTAAATCAAGAGGGTCCTAATCAGCGAAATCAACAGCTGCAGACTTGGTCCGAAAAAGAAAAACAAAAAGAATGCAACGCCCTCCACTCAACATTGATTTGCTCTGGCTGCTAATGATAAACATTAAAGTGTCAGGAAGGAGGAGAGAAAAAAAAACTTTACATCAGGTATGTAGTGCCTCCTATAGAGGCTCAATCTGTGTTATTTAGCTATTTTTTTTGTTTTCACTTACACCATATTATCTTAATTTGCACACAGATATTTTATCATATGTCTAGTAAAGCTTTTTGCCTTGTTCCGCCAGCCTGTAGAATCATTGGTAATTATTTATGTAATTGCCATTTTTGCATATTGGGTCGATTACGAGTCAAGGATTAGAACTGTGAATCTGCGCGAACAGAAACCACAAGGTTCCGTACTAAAAAGTTTAAGTGAGGCGATTTTATAAATGTAGTTGAGAGGAAAACTCGGTGAGTTTCATTTCATTTATTCCAACTGCCAGTAATTTTGCTCAGTTGTATAATGGACTCAAAAAGAGGCACAGCAGTCCGCATGCAGACCTACGAGTCCGAAATAGAAAATCCAGCGGGTTATATCATCATTATGAAGAAAAAGCGAAAGTATTAGAGGAAAAAAGGGGGAATGAAAGGGGTCTCTATTCTCTCTGCCTCTCACTTAATTTTTTTGCGTTCAGCCCACGTTCGGAAAATTCCATCTTGTCATTTACTAAGACCAGGATCTCTGTCAACCGATGAAAAATAATTATACCAAAAAATAAAAAGCAATAATCGAGGAAAGGAATAGTGCAAAGGAGAAATAAATAAGAAATGGAGATGGGAGAGGAAAGGAGAGAAGGTACGAAAGAGACAGACGGTGAAGCTGTACTTCTAATCGACTGTGAGGGAGTCTAATGAAACAGCTGTCAGACATATTTAACCCTCTTTTTTTCCTCCATTCTCCATTATTTTATACGTCTTCGTCTCTCCTTCATATCTCTGTTTTCACTTTTTTTCCCCCTTGCTCGCTCTTTCTGAGTATTAAATCGGTTTTTCTAAGTGCTCAATTTGCTTTTAATCCATCTTTCACCTCCTTCTTTCTCGCCACCCCTGTTTCTAGACTCGTACTCGTTTTCCTCAACACGTCCTATTTGCCCTTTGCCTTGTTTGATTCTAACCCTTCTGGTGTTTTCTTTAGGCACAAAGACATGAAGCCACAAAAACAGTATTTTACGCAGATGGCACTATAAAATATAATAGGCATCCAAACTTTAATATGAGCATTTAGCACAAATCCAGGGATTATCGTATTTTACGCTCGTTCCAGTCACGGCCAATTCCTGTTCCTCTGAAATAACATTCATTATATATAAAACAATTTACAAACGTTTGGGCAAAAATGTATAAAAAGCAGCTAAGACTCAGTTACATTATGTTTTTATCGGCTCCCTATTATGTTTTTAGTTTTTAGAAGTGCAATATTTCCCAGAACGGTCATGCTAATTTGAATTAAAGCAGTGTGCAAGGTAATGTCACTAACCCATCTGATTTACTATCAGATCATTAGTTTTATTCTAAATGTATGTGCAGCAAATCACAGGTTAATATTAGATCTTAAAGTTGCTAATTGCATTTGTCCCCTGGCTTTAAATGATAGGTTTCAAAAGTAAGTTGTGCTTGAATGTGTCTCCTGTATGTGACTCGGCCAACAGGATGAAGGTCAGCCTCAGTGTCTGTGCAGTTTAGCAGTAAACCAGACAGACAGTTGGCAATTTATTGTATTTTATTGGGATATTTTATGTGATTCTAAGTACATATATGTTTTTAAAATGTGCATTTGCATTAAAGTCCAACTCCAAAAGCTTAATTACTACTTTAACTTTTTTTTTATTTTTTATCTTCTCTTTTCTCCTCCTCATCAGGTGACGTTGGGCGGCACCTTAATCGGGATTGGCCGCAAGACGTCCGACTGCCAAGGGAACACTAAGTACTTCCGCTGCAAGTTTTGCAACTTCACGTACATGGGCAGCAATTCCTCGGAACTTGAACAACACTTTTTGTCCTCGCATCCTAACAAAGTAAAATCTCCCCCGACCACGCCGCTGCTGGCCACCAATAGCCTGGCGACGCACGACAGCCAGCTAAAAGGGAGGAGCGTGATGCTGGACGCCGGCGAGCGGGTGGCGGTGCGAGCCGAAGACGACTCCGTGGTCGGGTACTTCATCCCGGTCAGAGCGGGTTCTGACTCGTCGGGCTGGACGGGGGAGGCTGGTCGAGGGCCCATACAGGCGTGTTATTGGTGTAAACTCTGCAGCTGGAGTTGCGAGTGGTCAGAAGGTTCAGCTAAGCTTCTAGAGCACTATGAACAAAGGCATAAGGCTCCTGCTGGTGGCGCTATGAGCCCCAACAGCTCTGGGCTTGACAGAGAGAGGGAGAGGGGAGGAAGAAAAGATAGAGGAGAGCAAGATCACATGGGATCCAAAAGCTGCAAAGATCACTTCACCACCAGCCAAGGTAATGAAAGAAGTGTGAAGTAAGTGGGGTGGAACTTGGGTGCAAATATCATGCAACTATTGCAACATTGCTTCTTTATGTTTACTCTAATTTTAAGCAGAGCTGTGATATTACTTTGGACAATTATCCACCTTGAAAAACGATTCTGACTTCTTGAACTTTTTAATATTTGTTCACGCTACAGTCTTAAACTTCTATGTATCTTACTGAGATTGTCTGTGATAAACCAACACAAAGTAGTGCACAAAGTGGAACATCTGTTAGAGAACATTAGCAAACAAACAACATAATAAATATAGTTCATAGATAAAGATGTGGGGGAAAAAAAAAATACTTTAAGGCAGGGTTAGGTTGTAAAACAATACCCCAAGTTGTGAACAACTCACAGAGCTCTGTTTAATCCATCCTCTAAAAATGAAAAGAGTATGACACAACTGTGAACCCATGACATTGCTGTCTAGCTAAATTGATAGGCCGGTCAAGGAAAGCATTAATCAGAGAAGCAGCCAACAGGCCGATGATAACTCAGAGAGACAGAATGAGAGGCACAAGGAGCTCCGCTTGTGATTTTCCACAAGCGATGTCGGGGACACAGCAAGCCGTTTGGAAGGGAACAAAGCTGAACTTTTAATTGAACTCTTGGCATACGTTCAAAATGCTGTCTGCGGCAGAAAATCTACGTTTGACATGGATGGAAATATTTTCTCTGTAGTGAAATGTGGGGATCATTCTTTCAGGATGCCTCTTTTTTTTCCAGCAGTGACAAATAAGCTGGTCAGATTATGGGAAAGGGAATGCAGGTAAATACAGGAGAGATCTATATATATATATATATATATATATATATAAAAACTTGTTAGAGGCTTCAAAAGGAGACTGCAGCCAAGGTTCACCTTCCATCAGGACATCAAGCGTAAAGCTAGAGCTACAGTCAGATGGTTTACATAAAAGGACATAGAATGGCCCAGTCAAAATCCAGACCTAAATCTAATTAAGAATTTGTAGCAAGACTTGAAAATCGATTTCTACAGACACTTTCCGTCCAAGCAGTGACCAAGTTGAACCTTTAATGCAAAAAGATAAGATAAAAATGTTCATCTTTACATTTACAAAGCTGTTGGCAACATACTTGCTGCTGGATTTGCAATGTTAGGTGATTCTATAAAGTTTTGGCTCAGAGGAGACTGATAAATGTACAAATGTTTGTAAAAACTTTTTTAAAAACCACGTATCGTTTTCCCTCCTCATGACAATAATGCACGACTTTGTGTTTGTCTGCCATGCAAAATAGTCGCGGTCTGTGATTCTGTCGAGGAAAATGTCGGAAAAGTTCATTTAAGTGTGAATATTTTTGGAGGGCACTGTGCATCTGAGCCCCTTGCGAAAGGTTTTACAGAAGGTTTCTGTGCTCTGCTCCTAGGAGACCCAAAAGGTGGCGATTCGGAAGCCGTCGTGACCAGCTACAACTGTCAGTTGTGCGATTTCCGTTACTCGATGGCCCACAGTGCGGACGTGATCATCGTCGCTCCGTTGCTGCTGCACTACCAGCACAACCACTCCATCCACCGCTGTTGCATTCAACACTGCATGTATTGTCCTCAGGGGCTCTGCCAGCCCCAGAAACACCTGGGAGAGGTGAGCTGCATGAAAAGCTGAACCATTTGATGTTTGCTCTGTAATTACTGGGGGGAGGAGAAAAAAAAAAAATTATATATACTGCTCAAAAAATAAAGGGAACATTTCACTTTAATTTTGTGTGTGGCTCCAAATCCAGGCCTCCATTGGTTAATAAATTTGATTTCATTGATGATTTTTGTGTGATTTTGCTGTCAGCACATTCAACTTTGTACAGAACAAAGTATTCAATGAGAATATTTCATTCATTCAGATCTAGGATGTGTTATTTGAGTGTTCCCTTTATTTTTTTGAGCTGTGTGTGTGTGTGTATATATATATATATATATATATATATATATATATATATATATAATGCGTTTTTCTGCAAGCGCATGAAAATAAATTGGAATCCATGAACAAGTGTAAAGTTAATTGTTCTGATTTCCTGATTAGTTAAAATTCCCTAGCTTCTCAGAGTCTGCCCACGCACACTGCCTGCCCTCCTTTGTGCCAGCTGCCAAACAGTGCTGCTGCAGCTGCTAAAAATACAAAAATGGATAGTTAATATTTTAGACTTTTATTAATAATGCACACTAATTTTACTGCTGCCGACTTCCACTTTTTTTTTTTTTTTTTTTGATGTGCTTCAAACTCATCAACCCAATTCTGACAAATAACCGCAGCATGCAAACATGGAAGCAGCTGTTTGACAAAGTATTTCTCTCGATAGGTATCCCACCCTTTTGCTTGCCGGAAGCCAACCTGTTCTAAATGCTGTTCAAAGTTTCCTCAGCCTGCCAAGCAGCAGGACGCCATTGGTTCAAAACCCACTGCTGCCACCTCACCCAGCGTGACCCCTCCTAACCCGAGAGGCGACCCCAGTGTGATTTCTGGTTCCACCTTTCACCCCTCTAACCCGGCACATCCTGTTGTTGCACAAGGTATTTAAAGGCATAGGTGCAGCAAACCGTTTCCATTTGCTGATCATTTTCTTCATGTGAACATTTTAAACTTCCATCTTTCAGGTTTTTTTTTTTGTCTTAATACTGTTCTTCTCTCCAGGTGTCACTCACTTGTGCGACCAGTGTGCGTTTGCCACTACGGACATCGATGTGTTGCTGCAACACTATGAGAGCTGTCACAGCATGATCAAACTAAAGGGGGCACCTCCACAAGTCAAGGCTGAAGAGGAGACTGAAGGAGACAAGGAGGGAGGCAGAGGAGGCGGCGCAGGAGAGACCGAGCACACTTGTACGAAGTGTAGCTTTGTCACACAAGTGGAAGAAGAGCTTTTTAGACACTACAGGTGAGCAGGACATCTCACAATAACTAATTGATAATTGTTTTTGGACATTACGTAGTGAATAAGAAAATTCTCCATATGTTTCACTACGATGCCAATCATATTGGCTCATCTAAAGAGAAAATATTCCATACTGGTTTCTACACACCTAAGTATTGAAAGCAGCTGCTTAAAACATTTCATTCAAAAGTCAAGTACGCCACCAAGCATTTCCTGTGCTTGGATGGCCCTACCATTTTTTTGGTCTCCAAGTAATCACCCAGGAAATGTGATTACCTGGGTGATCACATTTCAGCAGCAACCTTCTTAACAGTCAACAGCCCAACTAATCAGTTCCTTCACTAACCAGCCAGCCAACCATCTGATCAATGTAACAAATTACTAGCCAGTCAGTTAACCACTAATTTCCAAACTTATAAACTACCTGACGATTCACTTAATGAACTATCAGACCAAAAAGACAATTTATTACTCAACTAACCAGCTCACCGTTCCAACCACAAGCTAACAAGCCAACCAGCTCTCTCGCGTTCAGTCAGCTCACCAACCAATTACCCACAAGCACAGCGAACCTTTGCCTTTTTGCGAATTTACCAGATTGCAGATTTTTTTTTTTTTTTTGGGAAATGTAATTGATCTTCAAATTAGTGTGCAGAGATTAGTTTCTGTGGTTGTGCTGTGATGATTTCTATTGTCTGTATCAGTGCATGTTGAGGTATAGTTGGTGTTGAAACTATTACAAAGACAGTTCTAAACGTTTGCAGATTTTACCTAATTGTGGTAAAGTCTGCAAACCCTCGTGAATACTGGTGGTCCACTGTATAACAAACCAGCTAACCATACAACAAACCAGCTAACCATACAACAAACCGACAGAACAATCAAACAAACAAACAAAAAAAAAACTGTTAATCAATTATGGTTTGATGTTGTTTGCATGCTCCATTCTAAACACAGCGGTCCTTCAGTCACCCCTACAATTTTTTTCTTTGACGGAACAAGCTGCTTGACATTCGAGGACAATTTACCTCTGAAATTCACTCTAGATGTGGGAAAAGCTGTGAGAAACCTGAAACACTTTTATCTTTACCTGATGCAAATTAGGTTTGTTCCTGATGGCAGTCTTCATTCTCTGAAGCTCACCAGTCATTTGTGCTCTGCAATTCTTGGCGAAAATTGAAGAAGAAATCAAAGCATGACGTTACAATACGTCTCTGAAGTAAAATTAGGTCTTCACACACAGATAACTTTAAATGAGATTACCTGACTTGGAGAAAAATATTCAAGAATACAAAAGACAATAAAAAAAAAAAAATGTTTATATTGAGTATTAAATAATCTACGATTCTGTACTTCTATTTAGCATGTGACAAAGATTTTAGTGGGATCCCAGAGAAATAATAAAACAGATATATTTTCAAAAGAAATAGTGCTGTGGGGTAGGGAAATAAAAAGAAAGGAGAGAAAGGTGAGAAATCAGTTATGAGATGTTTTTTTACGGTCCAGTCGCATTTCAAACAAAAGGCTCGTATACTCTGATACTCGGCGCTGTGATGAAATAAAAGTGAGCTAAAGCCACAGTTTCATGCCCCCTGCAAAATCAATCAGAGCTAAACGGATTCTAAAGTTTTAGAGAACAAATTCGGGATTTAATTCAGTGGTGTTTGAAACAAAGGGCTGTGGTGTAATGAGAGAAAAGGTTACCTGCCGAAAGAGTGATCACCCAGACATATGAATGAAAAAGTGCATTGTATAATCAGTGCTCTAGCTTCTAAGCTAATTCTTAGATTTTACGTACAAAAACACAGAAATGCCTCTCAAGTGGTGTTCCCTCCTCTTGGTAGAGCAGCCAGAAAAGGCATCTTAATTTTCTTTTTGAGATTGCATTTATTAATTGAACTTATTTTATCGTCTTCATTAACTGGCTACAAAGTAATCTATGGATTACAAGTTGTAATTTTTAGCAATGCATTAGAAAGCCTTAAAGTGCTACAAGCACAACATAAAACCTAATATTAGGAATAACGTAATCTTGAAATAAAGTACAGTATAAGTCTTTAGTTGATATTTGATGATTTACGCTATATTCTCACATATTTTGTTTTAGTTCAGCTTCGAGCAGACTGGCTGACGTACCTAAATGGTTCTGGTGCAGTTGTTTGGTATCTCCACTTGCATCTCCAGGGTCAAGTGGATGACAGCAGTCACACCGCTTCAAATGATCTGCACTAACAGAATAATCACACCAGAGTTACTTTTAATCAAACCAAACCTGTCGAGTGTGAAGGCGCTCTCTAAACCCATTGGGTTTTAGATGGCCTCTCCGAACTAGACATTCTTTAACCCGCTGGAGAATCAGCTTATAGCTTATGAGAAGGAAAAGAAAATCTATTTACTCCTCATATTTGTGCTTTTTCTTTTCTTTCCTTTTCTTTTTTTGTTTAAATTCATTGATTTATTTCTTGCTGTGTGAGTGTCTTCTCTACATAGAGGTTGTTTTTCTGCTCTCATTGACATTTTTGGCATACTTACTGTATATCCTGCTGTTGTAAAATACTCACACTGCGGGGCATCAATAAGAAGCTGCTGTTGAGAAAAAGCCAAGTGAATGCAATAGCCAGTGTTTAGCAGATCACTGCTGATGGGTGACAACCTGAGCAAGAGAAGCTTTGTTTCAACATGACTCGTCTGCCAAAACAGTAGAACCTCGACAAGATAGCACAAGATATTTTCAGATTACTTTAAAAGCTTTCCAAAAAGTACACGTACCCTTGAATTTTCATTTATTTTATTTTTTTATTTTTGGATTAACAAGCTCCTGTGTAATTTTCAGAAATTTCAGGAGATAGAAGTGCCAAATAGTGAAGTGGAAGGAAAATGATGGCATTTTCTGGGAAGGAGTTGGGTTTTATTTGCTGGGTTTTAAATAAAACCCAGCACAAGTAATTGTCTTTAAAAGTCACCTAGTAAACAGAGCCTCCAAACGCTCTGCGAATGCCTCTGAGGTGTTGGTGAACACACAGCTTCATGGACACAGCAGGGATTCAGTTAGAGAGAGACGTCCCAACCATCTAGTGTTGCTAGTATTTAAAGAAAAGCACGATCTAAGTATGGGGTCATTCCTTCAAGAAAACTCATTCAGAGTACTGAAACTGAAGTTTGGCTCCTGGTAGGACAATGAAGCATCTTTGTGTTTGAATAGACCAGCCAAAGTTTAAATGCTCATGTCACTGAGAATATTTGACCAGACTGGAAAATTGATGTTTAGATGCCCAGCATCCAGTCTGACTGAGTTTTTTGTCTCAATGTGTGCAGAACAGTTTTAACAAATAACTCCGAATTTCTGCACCTGTAATGTCAGGGAAACAGCATAGATTCAAAGGTTCTAGATGCAAATCCAGCCACACTTTTCAGATTTTATTTGTAAAACTGTAAAAGCCGTGTAGAGTTTTCCGACTTCGTAAGTATTCTGCTTTTATGTTGGTCCACCTCAAAAATGGCAACACAATAAAATGGAGTGCGATGTTGTGTAAATGTTTATATTGTCAAAACATTCAGAGTTAATATGAAAACAATTTCCTTAAAAAAAACAACAAAAAAAAACAGAGGTGAAAAATCGAAGTAATGCATAAACATTCTCAGTATTCCCTTTCTATAAAAAAAACATACAGTACATAAAGGTTATTGGGTAGTACGGCTCGTGTCAAGTAAAATGTAAATTAGCTGCCCATGGTCTGAGTTTGTGTGGGTGTAGGTATGTGTTAAAGGTGATTCATTGATTTTTTTTTTTTTTTTCTTGCTGGCCCACACATGAAACACCCAGCATGTGTTTTTTTTTTTTTTTTTTTTTTTTTTTTCTCTGCCAGGAAGAAAACGTACTCTGATGTCTTGCTCTGGAAATATAGCGAAGCATTCAGGGGTTGGCCCGGCAGGAAATGAAGGTGGCTTGTTGTCAGTTGATTCAGTGCTCGATGTTCAGATTCATTTATGCTCCTCACCATTTTCGAGTAATTCGTGGTGATTTAGTGGAACTCTGAGTCACTTTTTGGCCACAAGTTCCCTGAAAGTCAAGACCTGAGTGCTCTGAGGAAATCAAGCAGGGCCAAATGCACTTTTGATTTATTCATTTCCGGGGGGCGGATTTTCTTCGTTCCATGAGCGGTTCTGGCGTGGAGCTGCGTGAATCGGGGACTTTTACTTATTTAAAAGGGTAGACATAAAGATGAGCCGAGTCTGAACTGAAAACAAAACAAAGTCTGCAGAGCTGCCTTCAGTCACATTATTGTATTTCTGCGATGACTCATTACTAGTTTCGATGACTCTCAGTGCCATCATCTGGCTTTCTGATTCAAACCGAAAATGAAGATTTGTACTTTTTCTTTCTTACCAGGCGTGTCCACGCGTGTTGCCGCTGCCGACACTGCGACTTCACCGCTCCCGATTCATCGGCCCTCCTCGACCATTTTAATTCTGCCCACTGTCAAGACGCCTCTCCCTCATTAGGCTCCCAGTCCACCTTAATGACACCGTCGCTGGCGCTTTCGGCCAATGGCTGCTCAGCCCCCTCGACTTTGGCCATTAAAGAGGAGAGCAAGGGGGATCTACGACTTCTGTACTCTCTGGCTCCACCTGAGGGACGATTGGCGGAGGGCGGCAGAGAGGAGCCCGGCGGTGTAGTAAAGAGCGAGGGAGTGGAGGAGAAAGAAAGAGAACGGGAGAAGGGTTGGGCTCTCGGAGAGACAAGAGGGCCGGGAGAAAGAGGAGGTGAGCAGGCCCACGGATTACTCTGGGTACCCAAGGAGCGGATGGGGCCCGAGAGAGTAGCAGAAAGAGGAGCAGGAGGTGGGAGCCCCTCTCTTTTCCCCTCCCCGCTCTCCCTCTCTTTCGTTTCAGCCAATCACGAGGGCTCGCAGCAGAAGAGAGGCATGGCTTCGCCTGGCATGGTTTACCTGGCAGACACCAAGCCGTTTTTGGGAGATACCAAGTCGTTTTTGGGAGGAGGGAGGCCAGGGGGAGCTACTGCAGGTGGAGGAGGAGGTGGGGAGAAGCAGAGCCAGATACCTTCACAACAGTATCCAGGTGGAGGAGGAGGTGGAAGTGGAGGTGCAGGAGCACAGGAGGGGAAAGGAGGAGCCACAAAAGAAGAATCCCAGTCTCTGCTAAGAGTAAGCAGAACATGCACCACACACGTTATCAGAGTCCCTTGCTAAATCTTTTCCTGTTTTTTCAAACCTGAATGGGAAAAAAAAAAAAAAAAAAAAGTTTTGTGGGGGCGGGGGGTTTATGGTACAGAGCAGCACAAAGAAATGCAGAAATCAGAGGTGGAAGGAAAATTATTCACATTTCGGATGATTTCTACAAAAGAAAAATCTGCAAAGTGCGTTGGCTATTCTGTTCTCTGAAACCCCTAAATACAATCGATTTCATAAGTCATTTTTCGTAAGTAAATGGAGTCATGGTGTCATGAACACAGCAAACGTGTAAGTGAAAGCGGTCAGATGAGATCAAAACGTAACTCTCTGGTGTAGATGCAAAACATTATATTTGGTGGCAAATAATCTTGAAGTCGACATCACTCTGAAACATGGAAGTGGGATCATCATGGTGTGCAGATGCTTTTTTTCCTGACAGGGAAGCTTTTCTAAGGTTTTTATTCATTAGCAGCTGGACATGACGAAGGGCAGAGATAAATAATGGGGACACATGCAGCAAGTGACCATCCTAACGTGGAACTTTTTTAGCGCATAAGCTGAAGAAAAAGCCAAATAAAAATGTTCACATGTACAAAGCTGGTGGAGACGTACCCTAAAAGACTAAAGACGGTAATTGAAATCAAAGCTGGTTTTATAAAGTAGTGACTGAGAAGAGTCAAACATAAACACACCTTTCAGATTTTTGTATGTAAAAAAAAAAAAGTATGCTTTTCCTACCACTTCATAATTATGCACTATTTTTAAGTATTTCTATCACACAAAATCCCATTTCAGTCTATTGCTAAGTGGTGTCAAGATGTTAAAGGGGCAGGAATACTTGTGGAAGTCATCGTGAATACTGATTTCTGTTATGGAAGCTCACAGGTCAGCTTTGTCTCGTTCACTCTGAGACTTTTCAGAGTTCAGCCTGGGATTCTTCCTGCTGGGAACGCTAGTTATCAAAATGCCTCTTTTAATACACTTTCATCCTCAAATCATCTTCCCTTTGATTCCAGTGCGTGGAGTCGATCTCATGTGGCGAGCTGCTACAACCTAATCTGTTTGCCTCTAATCATATTTGCAGTTTATGCAAAATATGTTTGCCAGCAAAGCCTCTCGCACGAGTGCGCTCGTATCTGTTGTGCACATGCCTCCATGACATCATTTCCCGTTCCCATCAGCCACATCCATCTTCCTCTTCTGAATCAAATTTTAAACTTCACAACACAGGGAAACTTTCCTGTCGTCCTGGCAACTGAGGGTGGCTAACCGACTGTTCCCATGAATCCCACCTGTCACTCACTTTCCTTCGCCCAACTCTGTGGACCATAATGCTTTTCATTCTGCAGTGATGTCATGGACTGGCAGGCGTAGCTTGTGGTTCACCAGCGCCACAGAGCTTATTTGCACTGATCACATTAGATCAGAAAAGACTATTCTCTCTCTCTCTTTCTCTCTCTCTCTCTATATATATATATATGTGTGGGTGTGCATACGTGCGTGTGTGTGCATATGTGGTGTCAGGGCACCGATACTGGCAGTATTAAGTGGGAGACAGGTGGAACCGGTGTGTGTGGATACGCATACGAGCGCGACAGTTGAGTCTATGACTTCTTTGTACAAGCTGTGGTGGGGCCTGCTGCAAATGTGTATTTGTGTGTCTGAGGTGTTGGCAGCAACTTGGCAGTCTGGGCAGGGTGGGGCAGCAGGAGGTTTACTCATTACTGTGGGTGGGGCCGTGTGTCCCTGCAAAGGAGTGGGAGAGTGACACTGAAATAAAAGAGAGATGCATGAGAATGAAAGGGAGGGCCGGGATAAAGATACTGACAGCGCGCTAATTAACTAGCAATCCATTTGTGGCACTTTCTAGAATAATGCAGCAGCCGCTGGATTTAATGACGCTCCTCGATATGATGTGTGAAGTAAAAACAAAATGAATTATTGCAGAAAATGTTAATAAACCCTGCTGCTCATAACGTGCAAGAACCCCTTTGGTTGCGTTTAATCTTCTCCAGGTTTTGTGCATAAAAGAGACGAGTCTTTAACCGTTCTTCTGGGCACAATCTTTGTTGCATCATCCAGAGTCTTGGATGTGGGAACTGCGTTTTGGATCATTATTCTTCGAAATAACACGGCGGCGACTCATTTTTAATTATCTAGCTGAGGTAAGGGGATTTTTTTTTTTTTTTGCTTTAAATTTCCTGTTGTGTCAAAGACTTTGTGATGCAATGCAGTCTGACAAAGTTCTGAGGGCCTTTGGGAGAGAAAATGGCCCACAGCATCACAGATCCTCCACTGCAGTTCACACTGGGCATGAGGGATTCTTTTCCACACACTCATCTTTTGCTTCACGCTGGGTCCAATTGCAACACTTATTTCAAAGCACACAGTTTGAGTTGAAGACCCAGTAGCATGCAGAAGATTCATATATTCATTATATGTGATTGTGAAAGTGGCATCTCTTGCAAACTTTGTGGGCACATGATAGTTTTAATGGACACCTGGTGAGTGCAAAATGCCACTCTTTATTGTATTTCTTCCTCTATACAAAAGTCACTGACTTAAAAAAAAAAGTTAAAATTGTTCAGTGACTCTTCTTTTATGGAAACAGTTTGGAACGCAAATTAGTGTGTGGAGTTAGATGTTTTTTTTTGGTTTTCTTTAAACATGGGATTTTAACCTATGTACGCCGTGCACTCAGATTATAGGCGGAGTTTCTTCTAAATGTTTCTTTGTGAGATTTTACTACTGTGAGGAAAGATGAAATTGGTGTTTTCCTCATATCTTTACCTGCAGCACCAGTACAGCTTAAAGTCTTAAAGCAATGCATGAGTGATGGGGTTGATTCAGACTGTGCAACAAAGACGCGCAGTTTAATCAACATCCTTATCTTGCATCTGTCCTTGCCGAGCGCTTCACGTCTAGAAGATTCAATTTATTTAATTAGAGATAAACGCAGACCTCTGATTTGTTTAGCCGAGAAGTAAAAAGAAAAAAAAAAAGTACATTTTAATAAGAGAAGCAAGAGATATCGATGCTACGTTTTCACAGATTTCCTCATGCAGGCACAATTCATTCTAGACGTCATAATAGGCTGGAGTTGAATCATTGCTACTCAAAATGAGAGAAGAATAAAGGTTTGTAAGTAAAAGTTTGATCCTGTATGCAGCTTAATACACACAGACACAGAGGAGAAAGCCGGTTGAATGAGGCCCAAGAGAGAAGAAATTGATGCGATGTAAGTGAATCTGTCCAAAATATAAAATGACATTTGGAAATGTGATGCGATATCCCCATGCAAAGGGGGGGCAGTTACCACTGGGGTGGTAAAAGATTAAAAAGAGACAAAAGTGGAAACAAATACCCCAAGTCGGATTTAATCTTCACCTGCGTGCGTGCGTGTGTGTGTGTGTAGATACTTGTGAGCGTTTCTTCACCTGTGCGGCGCTCCGCTTGCCTTTGCGGAGCGTTTTCCCTCAATCCCCACTCGCGCTCGCCGTTCTCCGCCGCATCGATCCGCCTCTCCCCTTCCACCGTTTCATTCTTTTTCTTTCATTTCCCGTCTCTCCTCAAAGGACAACTTGCCCGATACAGGGGGATCGATGCGCACCTCGCAGACATTTAAAGGGCTCGGCAGCACGCGCGCACACCACCACTGTGCAGGCATGTGAACGCATACGTATGTCCGCACGGAGAACGGGAGTCTTTAGTATGCTGGTACGTGCAGCGTTTTGCTTTGCGGAGGGAGGGAAATACTTTCTTTGAAAGGTGTGATGTTTAATTGCTGCACACTGTTGCCTGGCTGAGGCAATGGCCTGCTGCTGGCTTTGTTGTCCCAGTGATTTATTACGAGGACAGTGTTTTTGTCTTTGTGAAATTTTGCTTTCTCGTTGTTTGACTGACTGTACGAGAGAAGAGTTGAGACCATGCCAGATTTAGAAAATAAGTTAAAATGAAACCTTTTAGTTTATAAATGAAATGAGACGGGCATTTGAGCCACAGTGGACTTTAGGGTTAAGAGCCGCGAGGAGATGGAAAGAAAACACATGTGAAGAGGTGCAGATGTACCAAACCGTCTGTGAGTCGACATTAGATTGAGTTTATCTGATACATTCCAGATTTCCTGAGACAGCAGGTACGCGAAATGGATGTTGGCAAGGAGGATGAATTTCAGGATATTACTTCTTATAGTAATGTGTTCCTAATGTAGTCAGATACCATAGACTGAGAGTAAAGACATGCACATTAAAAATGGAAAGGAAAGGAGAGAGAGAAAAAAAAGGATGTATAGAAGGAAGAACACAAATAAGGGCAGAACTAGGGGAGGAAGAACCAAAGCGAAAAAAGAAAGGAAATGGAAAAGAAGGAAGGCTACAGAAAAAAAAAAATCACACAAGACTCTTTCTGATGATTCTTTCTGAAAGAAAGGACAGTGAAGATCATAACGAAGTAAAGTACGGCAAAAGGAATGGAAAATGCAAAGAAGCAAGAAAAACACAAGAAAGAAAGCGAGAAGGAGCGGACACTCGGAAGAAATTAAGAAACACATTTAATATCCCGCTAAACCTTGTTTAGTGGACAGCGACTGTTTCTTTCAGTTCTAATTCAGATGCTTCCTATTTTTCTTCTGTACGGCTCACATGCGTCTGGATAACTGAATGTGTTCTCACGCTGCTGCTCCTTCACCTAATCACATGCAGTTTGTGTGGATTTGCATTTGAGTGTGTGTGTGTGAGCGCATCTGAGGCTGCGTATTTGCGGAGGAAATTGGAGTATAAATTTAACTTATTTGCTGTGCTGATAATTTGGCATCACTTTATATCCGCTACAGGAAATTAGAGCTTATGTTTTTGTTTGTCTCTATATGTGTGCATATTTATTTATTTATTTATTTTTTTTGTATATGAAAGATGCAGTGCAATGTCATCTGATGATGTTTATGCTATCTAACCACATCATGATAAGTTTAATAA